CCTAGCTGAAGGCGCCTAAGAGCTGCTTTAGGAATATAAGATAAATAAACCTAAGGCCTTCTTTAGTAAAGAGACAGAGTTAGTATACTGATACAGTACCCAGCCTACCTACAGGCGAAATATACTACTAAATAATATAGAGAGCCCGCCTGTAAGGCAGCAGCTATCAGCAGCTAATAGATAATAATAAAGCTAACGTATTAAATATACTGCAGTCTGCTCGGACTTAATAACTTCTCTTTATATAAAATATATACTTATTATTTTCACCTTCTTCAGCTAACCTCTAATACCTAAAACCAGCTATATTAAGACCGGAACCCCTCTAAGTAAAAACTCTCAGGAGCTATAGTTACCTACTAGAAAGCAGGCGAGATTCCTATATACAGAATACCTAATCTACTTCCTCAGCCTTAGTATCCCTAAGTTCAGCTATATTAGTAAACCTCAGGTTAGTTAGACTTAGAAGCAAATTACAGCTATACTTAATAAGCACCCGGTTAATAAGGAGCTCAGTAAGAGGGGTAAGAAACTTAATAGTACAGCTTTAAAAAACCTAGCTGAATATAACTACAGAGCTCTCCCGGAGATAGTTAAAGATAACTTTAAGAAACCAGCTGAAAATAAGTTCTAGTAAGACTTTTATATAGAGGCTTATAGAATTATAAAACAGTTAGAAGAGTTATTCGCTATACTTTAACGATTACCTATACTGGAACTGATTACCTATTAGAAGAGAATATCTACTATACCTCCTAAAAATACAAGATCAGTATCTTATAAGAGCAAGGGGGAGGCCCCTAAGACTCCGGTCAAGACTCCGGCTAAGACTCCAGCTAAGAAGGCTAATAAAAAATTATTAATCTCAGTTATAATACCTTTAAAGAATAAAAAGGTATAAGTAGTAGCTCCTAATAAGAGCTAAGAAGACCCCTTCTGCAACCCTAAAGAAACCAAGGCCTCTGCAGAGGAGAACAGTAATAATAAGAATATCCCAGCAGCAGTACAGAAAAAGACCGCTATATCAAAAGCAAAGATAATTAAAATCATATCTAATAAAGAAATAACCTACTCCTCTTCCGATAAGGATAAACAGCCTGCAGTAGGAACTAATAAGAAGGGTACCAGCAATATATATCTATTAATAGTAAAAAACTATAGCTACTATACAGGCCAGATCATAACCCGTTAAGATAATAATAATATACCCTACTGGAAGGTATATTTTAACTGCTGCTAAGTAAAAGATAGCAACGAATTACTTAATATCTTAGCCCTCAACTATATTATAGCCAGCTTTTAAGATATATCAGACCCTGAAAACTCAAATTACCCCCTTATAGAAGAGTTCTATAAAATTAAGAATAAGATCAAAGAAGTCTGGGAGGAGATTACTAAAGTAAAGAAGTTAAAGGCAGCTATAGATTATAAGGATTATATAAGTAAGAGTATATAGATTTACTATATCAAACGATAAGTTAATACTGCAGTTAAGATATATATCCAGAACAGGGTTAAATATACTGCTAATAAGTATAATATTAAGGATCCTAATAACTAACTACCGGCTAAAGTTAATATTTTAGCCCTTTACTATATTAACCCCTGTACCTTTAATAGGCAAATTACAGCTAAACTAGTATTTCTGGGTTATATAGACCTTATAATTATTAGTAATATACCCGAAGCCGAGATAAGAACTATCTATATACAGAAGATATATTTCAGATGGATTAATAAAGATCTCAGGTATAAGGTAGAGTATTCTAACTATAAAATAGTTAATTAATATAATAATAAGATATTTAAAGAGCTTAAAGGGAATATAAGCTGTATTAATAACTTAGAAGAATCTAATACAGCTTTAGAGGAGAAAAATACTACTCTGGAGGTAAGTATTACTACTTTATAGCTCAGGCTTAATATCCTTAAGGAGGCCAGCTATAAGGCAGGTAAAACTTTATCTAAGTATAAAGTATTACAGGTAGTTAATAAGGAGTAAGAGTCGGAGTCAGATAGAGCTAATAAGACTCTATCCAAGGCCCCAGTTATATATAGTAAATCAAAGCAGGCTACTAAAACACTATTAAAGAAAATACCTACTAAGGTAACTCCAGAGAAGTCAGCTGTAAACCTAAAGACCCCTTCTAAGTATAAGCCGGAGAACAATCCAGAGGGATCTATAAGCCGATAGGCTAAGTAATATAATTTGGAGGTATAAAAAGAGGACTAGGAAAGGGTAGTACCTACCGTAATAAAGAAAAAAGTACAGAACGGATTAAGTGCAAAGATAACTAAGGAAAGGGTGAATACAGGTATACAATTAGCAAAGGGGAATTAGAGCAATAGAACTTTTCTTTATAGGATAATATATACCGGCTAAATAGTAGTTAATTAACCTTTCGCTAGGATTTCTTTTATTTATTAAAGCAGGCCGAATATAGCCAGGTTACTGAGAGCAGTAGTATTTTTTCCTTTATCCGGAGTACTTATTATACTATAAACAGGGGCTGTACGGAGCCCCCTATAAAAGGGCTATAAACAGCCAGTAGATAGAAAGAACTCAAGCCTTAAGAATTATATTATCTTATATATAAGTAAAGGTATTATGAACCTAGGCTTCAACTACAAGCTATCCGACTACAGCTACCCTGTAGTTAACAACTAAGAACCCATCTATAATACCCAAGCTGATTACAGCCAGTTCTGAGCATAATAATTAGAGTTAGATAGAGATAGTTCTAATACTAGATAATAAGATTAATTAAGCTGGAAATCCCTTCCCTAGTAATTCCCCTACTAATAGCTTCCTAGATTAATTAAATTACTTAGAAGGATAATACCCTTATACTCTTTCTTTCTATAGTCTATAAGAGCTCTAAGATAATAACCTAGCTATAGAAGTAGCTAATAATAACCTATACCTGGGTACAGACTATCTAGTATTATTTTAGTAATAAGCCGGTAAAAGAGATATCTATCCAGTCTATATCTACTGCTTATAATAATTATATAGGAGCAGTAGATAGAGATAACTAACTAAGGGCTTAAGAGGGATTAGATTACTATATTTATAAGGGACCTTAGCAGTTTTTAGTATAGGGCTTCCTCCTTAAGATTGCTCTTTATAATAGCTTCTTACTATAGAAGTATAGCTAGCTAAATTAGAAGCTATTATAGATCTTATATAAGTAGTATAAGCAGATTTCTTATAATCTCCTATAAGAATATAGCTAAAAAGGGAGCTTATAAAAGAAGAATAAAACAGGCGATATAAATATATCTATTTTACAGTATAAATATATCTCTCGAAAGAGCCCGGGCTACTGTACAGCCTATAGAGATATCTATTATTATAAGCTAAGTATAAAGCTATTAGATAAGGCTAGTCCGAATAAGCAGGTATAGCAGTTACAGTCTGGCTGTAAGAATTATAATATTCCTCTTTATAATAATCCTATTTATTAGAACTTCTATTATAAGCTAAATTAGTATACAAATTAAAGTACCTATTATTACTAGGATTTCTAACTAATCAGACCCCTGTAAGGTACAAAGTATAGCTTACACTGCTTCAAGGAGATCGACATGCCCAGCTACCGGGTTACCCCCACATCCAAACGGCCTCTACTGCGCGCTCGTTGCCAGAGCACATGGCCTCTATCACATCTTTTAATGGAGACGTTACTAAGTATATTGATGCTGCTCCCATAATAGCATGAACTGTGCCCATGATCGACCCTGGGAATCAGTGGGTTGATGGCAGCTTGCCCCACACTCTTTGGGCTGATCTGCTCTTGAATTTGCTCGCTTGGTTGCTTGGCTACGGGTTCGATGCAGTGTTTCTCTAAATAGGAGGATGGAAATTCCCATCCTGGTTGATCTGCTGCCTGGTTTAGTTTGCGGATCATATCACGACCGTAGACATGGAGCAAGGCATTACTTTCTTCGCCGTAACATAGAAGAACAGGCAAGTGGCATCTGGAGAGCTGAGCACAGGGTGGTGATAGATACTATTTGATTTCCGAATTCCCTTCACCTCATGGTCCGGGATTTTGCTAGTGGCACAGAGACAGAAGGTTCAACTAGGTTGAACGCTGCGGGATTGCCCGTTCCTAGGTTAAGCTAGGTATTTCTACTCTACCACTGCCATAACTAATGTAAAATAGTCCCTAGCTCAAACACCGTGCAATCTTCATAATTCATCTTCCTTTGTTTCTGCATCCCATGGTCGTAGTTTCTGACACCCCGGAAGAGGAGCATGAATGACGCCATGAGTGTAGAGTTGGTTCTAGAAATGCTCAAATCACAATCACGCAGCCCCTCTTTACATGTAGTATGACGTTCCGCATCAATGAATCCGACCTCATTATTAATCATAATCAGATTAGGAGACCCCAAAGATGATGTCTCAGGGCCAGGCCCCCTTCCTCGATTACATTTACATGTTGTGTGTACATATATCATGGGCAAGCATGAGGTACCTACATCTAGGGACCTTGATTATGGATTCTTTGAGCATGCATTAATTCCTTATGAGTATCTTGGATTTTTTATTCCCCCACCTGACCAGACCGCCGGCTAAGGGCATGGACTTGTCTTTGAGATTTGATATCTACAGACCACATCAGACTGTGTGAACCACCAGGAACTCCCCTACTTTATATAATTAAGTCAAGGTATAGCCAGCAAGTGTATATTTGCTGTCATTATATTACTTTTCTCGTTTCCATTAATGTATTACTATTAATCTATTAGATAGTATCATCGCACATCATGCCACCTATCTTAGCGCCTCTCAATTTCATAGTAAGTAGTGTGAAACCATCCTGGCATTCAACATGAACTACCATAGATTGCCTTTTCCTAAAGCCACGCTGACATCATACGCAACCAGTTTATGGATAGCAACACCGGGATGAAAATCGTTATACCAAAGCTACATAAATAGAAGTCAACAACTGAAGGATAATTCCCAAAGGGAGTGTTCAGAGTTTAGATCATACGCATGACTTTCCATCTGTATTCTGGCATGTAGCATCTGTTGCATTGTACTTTTTCGGGTTGTTGATAGCACTATTGAAAGGTGCAGATGTGTCAATGAGCGCGGTCCGGGCGTCCTCATGTGCAGAATTAAAAGATTTTAGCTTTTCGGAAATACGCTTATTGTATTCGGAAATTTTCTTGGTAGGCTTCTCGCTCTTGGTTATGATCTTTGGAGTCTTATCCAATGCTGAAGATATCAACATCATTAGCCCTCAAGCTAAAAATTGATGAAGAGTGTGAACTCACGTGGGACTTGTAATATAAAAAAGCTTCGTATTCCAGTGTCATATAAGACCTCAAGCTGTTCAAAACATACGTCGACCGACTCTTTAATGTACTCTGAAGCATTCTGGCGTTGGTAGGAAATATCAACATCATTGATTCCGATCCATATGCCGGCCATTGTATTGTTAGGCTCCCACGGTGCATAGTCAGGCATTTTGGTGAGATTTTTCGTGAAGGTCTCAATTTGATCGGTTAATGTAAGCGCATTGTCACTTGACGGTGGGATGACCGATCTGTCTACTGTTGCGCCAGGGTATGCAAAATTATAGACCAATGTGTTTGTATTTTGCTTATTGTAATCAGACACCAGCCAACCCAACCAGTTATAACCTCCAGAAGATGTCGCTCCAGGGGGTGTTGGGTTCCCAAATGGGTTCTCTTGGCTCGGTTTTGTGCTCGAAATGTTGAAACCAGTTGTAGAATACGAGTCACCGCTATTTGTGAAACCAAGAGAATCAGACAGGTCAGAACTACCTTCACCATAACCCCGAATGATACGACTTACAATATGAACATGTATCTCACATCTTTTGTAACTTTGGCTCCTTTTTCTTTTCTAACTGCGCCCATGGCCAACCAGGCTGCAAATATTCGAAGAAATAGCATGGTCAAGGAGAAGAAGAGCAATGCGTGCCAGTTTCAAAGGATCTGGGGGCCAACGCGAGAAATGGAAAAGACTTCATCTTAAATCTGGTTCGACTGGGTGTTCATGCAACTCTGCATGAAGTTGAACTAGTTCATGCGATGCGAAATGGCAAAGGGTGGCCCCGCTCCATGAAATACATGCAACCTAAAAATAGATGCTGTTCGAGCGACAGTTTGCCTGAAGTAGACCCTGATCATTCCTATCTGAGGCAAAGGCTAATCTGGAATAGGTTGTAGCAGGCTCGAAAAAGAAAGCAAAGTAGCGACTGGCTACCTCTGAGAACCCATCCATGATGCAGTGTGGGAGCTTCAAAGTGTCGAGTTAATGATTCTTATCATGCAGAACTTGCTGCTGCGTCAATGTTCGAGATCCTTATCTTCCCTAACTCTCCTCTGCAGTAACCTGTCCTGACAAGAGGTATAATAATATATAGTGTGAGGTATCTGAAACCATCTCTGAAATGTCCCTTGAGTTCTTTCATTAGAACACAACCTGGAAATGCGCTTTTCAGTAGCGGCGCTCGATGCATCTCGGTTTTTGAGTCCGACATAAACTAACCCTAGCCGGAACAGTTCCTTGAGGCTTTTTTCTTCATAAAGGCGATGGGCGCTTGGCCCCCTGGCGCTTTTCCCATAATCCTATGGCTCATGCCGCGATATTTACAGTCTGGATTTAGGACAAGCGGCGATTTATCGCGGTGTGCGATATTTTGATCCCGAGCTCTTCTTTGTCTTTCTTTTCGGAAATACTTTCTTCATCGACGATAGTGCTGTCTGAAGTATGTCCTGCGTTGATGATAGTGAGTTCAGTTTGCATACCCTCCACTCTCCTAGCATGAAGGGCCTTGATGTCGATTGTTGGACCCACGAAGGTCTTCTTCTTGGTAGTGAACCACAAGAGCAGGATGAAGGCCATCATTCCCGCACAGACGATAGAGACATAGTTCATGTTCTTCCCCGAGACGGGCATCCTGGTAGGGAAGCAATAGATGACGTTGAGGAAAACGACCCAGCTGACAGCGAGGGCGTTAACGACCACACCGAATTTTCCGAGATTCATATAGCGAGGAGGCAGGACCTGGTCGCGTCCGCGAAAGAGGAGAACGGCCTGCGGGAGGACGATGGAGGTTTGTACAAAGATGATGGCGGCGCTGACCATGGCAGAGAATGCTGTCGATGATCCGAGAAATAACAATCCGTATATCTGCAATATCCCGGCAATTAGCATGTCTTCCGTACTTTGAGCAAGGATATGGAATTGGGCCTCTTACCGAGATGAAAGACGCAGACAGTAGGATCGCGTTAACGGGAACTTCCGCAACTGGATGGATTGCGTCCCAGTACTGTGAATAAGGGAGGACGCCGTCCCGAGCAACGGCCCACACGGTTCGTGACGTTGTGGTGGCTTGTTCATGATGGTTAGCCTACAACCGGAGGTGAGATAAGAAAAAGCGTAGAAACTCAACTTACCACAAGCGATCAGAGTACTAAACTGAAAGAAAGCAAAAATCCCAAGCAGAACAGATGCTCCGATATGTGATTGAGTTCCTTGTCGATAGATCTCGAAAAGTGGCAAGCCTCTAGTATTAGTAAGGACAGCATCGAGATCAGTTACTGAATACATCAACGATGTAAGGAAAGGAATTGCCGTGATCAGTCCTATGATAGGCGGGAAAAGGGTAACAAGAGGGATGGTCTTAGATGGGTTGGGCACTTCTTCGGCCATTTTCGCAGCACAATCTCCTCCAAGATAGGCAAAAACAGAGTTCCCTACGGCAAGCATAAAAGCAAAGCCATCACTCGACCACCCTGTTCTATTCTCAATTTTGGTGAAGATGGTGGTGGCAGTGGCATGGTTGTTTCGAGGAATGACGAAAAGTGTGATGCAGGTAGAGCTAAGACTCATGATTGCCAAGACGAAAGTCATTTTGTTGTAGCGAGGAATCCAGTTGGACAAGAAGATATTGACCACTGCTGCTATCCAAATAAGACACACATAGATCAAGTACTTCTGCCAAGATTGAGGTTCGAAGTCGGGAGTCCAAGCGACAGTGATGTCTAGAATAGTAGATGAAACGAAGTTGGCGACGGCAGCAGACGCAAACCACCATCCGATAACGGTCAGCCAGGCAGTTCTGAGGAAGGTCAGCAATCTTTACACCTTCTATCGCCATTCTCGAGGATAAGCTCACATGTATGATGTAAATGCCTTGTAATCATCGCGTGCGACCATGAAGGACCAGTAATACTGTGCCCCCGAAACAGGATATGCTGAGGCCAGCTCAGCCATACCCGCGGCAACAACTGTTGTCATAAGACCAGCAATGGTCAACGCCCAAATCATGCCGCCCTGGCCTGCTGCCATCAACCCAGCGCCAATAGACGACGCGGTTCCCTGCCAGGTGCTCGTCAAGGTAAACGCCAGCGCGGCAAGAGACCAGATCGAGAAGCGCCGAGGCATCTCACGCTGGACGCCAGCCACCTCAAGCTTGGAACCGTCCGCAGCCATTGTCAGCCCGGAGAGACAAGCAAGTGCAAAAGATTAATGATACTGATGGTAAATGATTAGTTGAGATTGTTCCGGTTCTGTGCCGCATGGTCTTCTGTCTGTTTCTCAATAGTTATATATCCCAGATCTATCCAAGCCCCTGGTGCATGGGCTTTCGAGGAGTTGAATTCCAGTCGAGGGCCGGCGATAAGGTGAAATTCTCCCCGGCATCTGCTTTTTCCCCCCAACCATATCCCTTCGTACTTGAATGGCCCCGAACATGAATCAAGTCATTTATCGCCGAGATTCGTTACTGTAATGTCATGTGTAAAAAGAGACCGAGTAGTTCATACCTTGAACCCATCATTGCCTACTTCTTCTAGCCTGGAAGAGCCACCTTTATCGGGTCAAGTTCCAAGCCCCCTCTCTAATTGAACCGTTTTGATCCTGTGCCTGAGAAGTATGAGCCACTGGTTGGAACAACGCATGATGCTGCTGCCGCCACAAGTGACTCAGTCCGGCCGTAAATCCTAGGTTGCCGCAAGAACTGTACCCAAGGAACGACTCCCAGCCGACCTTAAGATGTCACCAACAAAGCCTCCCTTGGATGGTCCCCAATTACTCCACACTCGCTCCAACATCTCATCCGCCCCTGGGACCAGGGGCGGAGAAAGTGAAACCTTGCGTTCCAGCGTGGAAGCCGTCACGAAGATTCTGGCGCGTCATATGTCTCGTATTCAAAATCTGCGGCAAACTACATAGATGATGCTTCACACGCGTTCTGAGCGATGGACCCGATAACTATATCAAATTTCTCTAGGCCCACAGCATGATAGCAAATGTCTAAACTACATCAAACTGGTGTTTCCGTGACGCTCTCCCTAAAAGTTAAATCACACATCCTATGATTCACCTATCTTAATGTTCAACGCGTAGTAGCTTAGTTCACGGATAGCACTTCAGTTACCAGATGAGTATTCTTTACAAATGTCTTACATTCCATCCGTTCAGGTGCTTTGTGGGCTCCAGTCGCCTCCCCCTTGTCGGACTTGTAGGAAAATATAGATAGTTGAGCGCTGTGAATCGCGCGATGGATGGAATTCATCATTGATTACAAAGGTAGTTGAGGTTCAAGTTTGAGTTCTTTGAAATTCAGTATCTGACGTCAGAAGGGGCAGTAAAACTACTGTCGCTGCCAGAAATATCCTTCGGCCTATCAAATAGGCGTATATTCCCAAGGGAGGTAAAATCAAGAACAGGATGGCCATCTTCAGTGAGAAGTGAAGCCATTTCCACGTCTAGATTCCCCGTATCTAGGCAAGGCCCATCCCGAGCTACGCTGATCAGCGAAATATTACGATAACCACTTAGCTGGAGAATTATTTAATGCTAAGCAAACCCCTGGAATATTTCGTTCTATCATTCATTTAGTTAGTTATCAAGGTATTTGTGATAAAAGATTGCCATCTATAACGCCTTAAGGGTCTTGAACTTTCAGTGACACAGGTTTCGGAACGTCATCGACCCACCGATGGATCTTCTCCCTGAATAACGAACGAGAATGAACAGCTCCAACTCGACGCAGGGTATTCATCCGAAGATTTTACTCCGAATCGGAACGTAATATCGGATCAAGTTGATGCCATTCTTGCCAATAATGACCGAAGACTTGCAAGAATAACTTGAGTTGAGGAACCATCGTTGTTAACGAGACACCTCATGCCTAGAGATCTTTTTAGTGCCAATAAGTACGGTAACTGATGAACGAGCTCTGGTCCGTCGTCTGTATAGGTGCTATAGGGTACTCGTGGCACGGGAGACCTGTCTGGCTTGAGACGTGTCAACGAGACTTGTGGTTAACCACGATTAGGTAGTTTAGGGTACACTACTTCTTTAGAACTGGAGGTGAGTCTAAAAGATCAATGCTACATCCAATAAAAACCCTTGTTTTGCAAATTGCTCATAAACTGCCATCGTTTCGCAATGCCTTGATCAACGTGGCTCAAACCAGAGATATACCCAGAAGAGATCGAGCTATAACGAAATTCTTGTTTTCATCGTCTTAGCGCCAGTAGATAGGGTCCAACGATGCAATGTTGTTGATAACGGCTGATAATATACCACAGTTGCGACGGTTGCATGCGCATTACGTTCTATGGCTCTCGGGCCATGTTTACCTACGGTACCTAGCTACATACTACCTCCAGTTGCACTACCGGCAAAGGCGTAATCTCCCTCGGCGTTTCCTCCCCACGCAGCTCCACCTCTAACAGCACCTCCCGAACCGTCGTCTGTCGCCGCACCGCCAAAGGCATGGCCTCCTCGCGCAGTTCCTCCGGGTCCACGACTGACGGCATCCCCACCGTAGGCATGCCCACCCCGACTTTCCCGGATTTTCTTGTAGGATGGACCATGCTGGCGGTCCACCAAGCGTTCCCGTATGTGATCGAGGCACTCCAGCACTTGCAGATAGCGCCGGTCATCTTTATTGGGAAATTTGCAGATAGTTTTGTGGTCAGCATTTTGCATCGGCTGGGCTTCGGAACCTAAGGCCGCAGAATCCCGAGGAACAAGCTAGGAGAGTTGAGATTTGTTAGTTAAGGCAGTGGTGGCGGCGGGACGACTACTCATACGCATTGGCTAGCTCCGGCCACCGTCGTTATCTGAGTCTCGTAGAGACACTTGAATGGCGGAATGGGGTCAAGGTTCATGAAAAGGTCCTTGGCATTGGCCGACTCCTCGTTAAAGGCACTGTGGAGGAATAAGTCTGCTCGGTCGACAAGCGAAATGTAGGGAAAGGGATGCTATATACTTCAAATGCTTATGTTGATATGACTTATCGGGTTATCGACTTATCGATAACCTGCAAACCTACTTGTATGAACCTTCCGTTCGACTATATAATAGTTAGCTTTTTCCCTCAGATATTATAATTAATTTATTACTTTAATCAGACCTTTGCTTTACTTTATATACAGCTATATCCTATTAACCTATACTAATCAGTCTGGAAAGACTATATAATAGATCAGATTAATAGATAAGATATCTTTCTATAAATCAGTTACTTCTATCTAGTAGGAAGCTAATTACTATATTTTATAAAGGAATTTATACTACTATAGAACTAATAAATTTATTAAATTATCTATCTATTTAATCCTAAGTATTATAGAAGAATATACTTCTATTAACCCTAAGAATTAGTAATTATTTATCTATATTAGTAATATTTAAAATACTATAATAATATCTAACTATCTATTTATTTATTTATCTACTTATCTCTTTATCTACTTATTCTCCTATCTTATTATTTATTTATTTATCTATAAATAGTTCCTTCTAACTTTAGAACTATTAATAATATAATTAAATAATTTACTATTTATTACTACTATAGTTCCTTTCTTATAATAATAAAATTAAACTATTCTCTTATATATAATAAATTATTAATATTATTATTCTAATCTCTACTTTCTATTAAAACTAATAATTCTAAACTATCTACTTAACTATTTATTATTATTAGTTATCTATCTATTTATTATCTATTAAAAATAATAAATAAAATAATATAATTATCTAGTTTACTATTAGATAAATTAATAAATAATAGATCTTAAATATATAGTTAAATAACTAGCTTATTTTCTTTCTCTATAGTATTAGTTTTTCCTATTCCTAACTATTTATAATTATATATTAATCTATTAATCTAGAGGAATATTAATAACTTTAATCTAATAACTACTATACTAAAGTAATTTATATTCTATCTATTATATATATTTATAATATAGAGTAATAAAGATTACTATAATTAATTACTTTATAAAGCTATATCTAATATATTTAAGGAATAGATTAATAATTATTTTATTAACTGTTGAGATTACAAGGGGTTTACAGGGCATTAGCCCTTATAAGCCTCTATAACACAGCAGGGAAGTTCGCTATAACTCACAGTTCTCAACTGCTAACTCCGCTATAACTCAGTGAGTTTTAGTGCTAGAGGGACCAAATATAGTGCAAAATATAGCGCAAAAGAATCTTATTTTTATAAGAGAGACCAGAAAATTCTATCTAATTTCTCTTATAGGTCTGCCGACTAAATACTACTCTAAAACCCGCTACAGCAGCTTCCCGGGCCACTTTTGATTTTCCGCAAAATTCATTACTATAGGAAATCTAAAAAATTAACTCACAACCACTAAAACCTTCGACTGATATATATAGCTTTTATAAGACCCACTTTTATCTGAAAGAGGCTCTTAAGCTGATCAGTTAAGTATAGATATTAAATACCTTATCTTTAAAGCTGAAGGAATTATCCAAGATCTAAGACTTAGTCTAGGGTAGGCTAGCTATAGGGTAGCCTTAGTATAGGTTAGGTTATCTGAGAATATTATAGGATTTTTCCCGGATTTATTAGACCTTTATCTGGGCTTGATAAGCCCGATAACCTAATAATAGCTCTGTTGGTGGCCCGGACCCCTG